CCATATGGAATAGTTCCGTAAGTGCTCAGGAATGTCATTTTATTGTCATGTCCATTATTACTGCTGCATACTTGCATTTCTGTCAGTGTAAAGTTTAACCCTAAATGATAGATGCTGGACGTATGGAAATTAGACAAAGTAGCGCAAAACTGATTTCTGAGACTGATGTCTGATTATTATATTGCCGCATTCTAGACCTCCCAGTATCCAAAGAAGCAAAGAATAAAACCAAACCCATGATCCTGTGTTTAAAGCTCAGGAGGCCGGTGATAGGGGCCTTGCCTATTGTTTGGACATCTGTTCTCAGCCAGCCATACAGAGAGCAGCCAGACTATTACCTTTTGTTCCCCTTGAATGGCGAGCAGTGCTGCTCAGTGATTATTAGCTTTTATTTGAAACTATACTTTATAGTGCACAATTAACATGAAGTATTTATTTAATTATGTCATCCAAATGTGCTCTTGCAGTAGACGAGTGCCAGATACTTGCTAGGGAGGACTCTTGCAGCTGCTTAGAAACAGTATGGACATAAGTTGGGGACTGAATCTACATGTTAAGGACTGCATGGGATAACAGATCACAGAACCTCACCAGCTATTCGGCTCCAGTGCCTGGTTTGAGTGTTGCAGCTTGGATGTGAGGGAGATGATGGTGTCTCCAGCTCACGGAACTGCTCAGAAGTCTTTAAACAGGTTTAGGCTGGCAAAGCCATTGGTCCTGACAGCATCTGCTCACATGTCCTGAATGCATGTACCATGCAGCTGTCTGAGATGTATCTTCAACCTGTCCTTGACTTTGTGCACCTTGCTGTTGTGCCTCAAGAAGACCTCAGCTGTGCCTGTACAAAAGAGCGTAAGTGATTCTTGCCTTAACGACAAGCATCCCGTCGTTTTAGCCTCCATAGTCATATAGTGTCTGGAAAAACTGGTCGTGTTGCACCTTACCCGCAGCATTCCCCCAACCCTGAACCCATTCCAGTTTGCATTCCCGCATAACAGCTCTGTGGATGACGCCATCTCTTTTAACTTGCACGCTGCTCTGAGGCTTCTAGATAAGAAATACTCCTACGTCAAGGTGCTGTTTATTGACTACAACTCAGCTTTTAACGCCATTGTGCCATCCAACCCAGTGTTAAAGTTACGAAACCTCGTGCTGAGCAGCTATAGAATATCCAGTAGGGCTTTTCAAATTGGGCCTTTGATTCCAAACCCAGGCCTTGTTTTCAGTTCTCGCAGCCAGTAAGTTTAATAATTACTGATTCTGATTGGTCAGAGGCTTCTCACCTGGTTCCCAGGTAAAGGAAGTCTGGAAAATCAGCAGTGCTCAGACCTTGAGGAGAGTGATTTGAATAACCCTGATATACAGGGTCGATACAATCAGGAGTACAGAAGAGGGAGATTAAAATTCAAAAAGACACTGAGTATCCATTCAACTTTGGTCACATTGATGATTAAGATGATTACGGGTAGATGTATAGGTATGAAATTAAATGAGGTAAAGCTGCTTCCGCATGTGAAATAGCTAAAGCTAACATTTTGGTGGCACAATGACCCAAAATGCTAGGCCAACGCTACACTGGTGTAGCTTAACAAGAAGAAAGTGAAGGTAATTGAGCAGCCTAGTCAAAGTCCTGACTTGGATCAGATAGAAAGTCCATCAACCATCTTTGACAGAGGTTGAGTAATTTTGCCAAGAAGAATGAACAAAATTGCACCACCCATGTGCAAAGCTAGTAGATATTTACCCAAACACACTTCCAGCTGGAATTGCTGCCAGAGGTGCTTCCACTAACTATTGATTGGTATGGGGTGGGGTCTTATACAGTCAAAATGTTTTTATGATGTTTTAATGTTTTTTCTGACATTTATCTTTCTATACCTGAAAGAAAAAATATTCTTGCTAAACCGTTATATTTCGAATGCGTCCATTGTCATAGCCCTTTGTATAACTGTCCCTTGGTATCTATGGGGATCAGTTACAGGACCCCCCTCCCCCAGGGATACCAAAATCTGCAGATGCTCCAGTCCCTTTTATAAAATGATGTAGTATTTGTGCATGACCTACGCAGATCCTCCCAGATACCTTACAACTAGATTACTCATAATATCTAATACAATGTAAATGCTACATATATATTTGTCATACTGTATTTTTAGGAGACAATGACAAAAAAATATATTCTGTACATGTCCAATACAGATATAACCATTGTATCACATATAGATTATATAATTATAAGACAAATTTATTTACGCTCTGTGTTTATTCTCACTTCACTCGCATGGATTCAGTGTAGTGCACAGCGTGGCAAATTCAAGTTTTGCTTTTTGACACTAGAATTTATTTTTTCAAACAGCTTTGACCCACAGTTGGTTCAATTTGCGGACATGAAACCCGCAAAGAGAGAGGGGCCTCCTGTACACCAGGGGGACTCTGTTAACTGCACTGAGGTGCTCAATAGCAGCACAGCATATTTACATAATGTGCACGAAATGTACCGACCACCAGAAAGTCCGGGGAAACATCTTGAACAACTTAAATTGACAGACTGCTGGAGGATATTGAGCCCTATTGCAAATCTTTGTTTGCAGCATATCAGTACACACCCTGTTTTTCTGCGAATAATAGGTGAACCCGGAATGAACCCCTTACTCGACATTGGTTGTCTTATCTTCTTTTAGCTCCTGGAAAAGTATCCCTTCAGCTGATAGAAAGACTCTAAAATGCATTTGTTACAGACAGGTCACCATGGTGGGCTGACTTAGTGCGAGGTCTTCATAATCACACTACAGACAAATAATATATAGCACAATATCCATTACACCCTGGTTGCTTGAACTACCAATTGATCCACAGACAGCCAGTTAGACTTGCAAATTAACTGCAGTTGGCAATGCAGGACTTCTGGCATAATCAGTAACCAGAGTATTAGTGTGATCTAGGTAATAGATCACCCATGGGTTATTTTTATGCTGAAGGAAAGCAAGCTAGATATATTAATCTGGTGCTTAAGTAAATATCACTACACTGTAACACTGTGGAGCCAGTGGTCAGACTGAAGAAGTGCTCAGTGTATAATACTGGGGATTCAGTGGTCAGACTGAAGAAGTGCTCAGTGTGTAACCTTATGGAGCCAGTGGTCAGACTGAAGAAGTGCTCAGTGTATAATACTGGGGATTCAGTGGTCAGACTGAAGAAGTGTTCAGTGTGTAACCTTGTGGAGCCAGTGTGCAAGGCAGGAGAGTGGAAAAATCTGCCACATTATACAGTTAGCAGTTTTGAGTATAATTTGAGATATTATAAGATTATAAGGTTAACTTTTAGCAGGAACATTCCCATAATGTGGAGTTATTGCGGTATTGGTAACACCCTGGGATTCAGAGCATTTTATACATAAGATGTTTCTGTCCAACAGGACCGATGAAACCAGACAGAGCATTGTCTATGAAGTGTATCGTCTACGTGTTGATGTGCATGTTTTTGCGAGAATGAACACAACCGAGAATTAGGCAACCGATTAGAAAGAGCACAAACAAGTTGACAGATTAAAAAAAAAAAAAACATTATTGTTTGCTCATTAAACCTGAACTTGAAAAGGTTGGGCTTTTGGAACTGCTACAAAGGACTGAGTGATCAAATGAAAGCAGTCCTTGCTTTGTCATATGTAATTTGTCCACGTTTGATAATTACAGCACCTCCTTGAGATGAATTCTTAGGAATTATTGAGAAATTTCATCTAATGTGGGTTGAATTTGTCAGGTTGCTGGCAAGACACTCAAAACCAACTGTAACTAGTAAAACTATTGATTCTGCAGCTTATTTATCTTTCATTGGAGCTGCAATTGACTTTTCTTCTCATATTGTGTAACTTCAAGACCCTAAAGATGACCCCCTCATGCGTGAAGGAGCCTCACCAGAAAGCCTGTCATACGAGAGAGACGTGGGCTTTAATCAGAACTTTATCTGCTTGTTGGTTATCCTGCTCTGACACTGTCCCATTTGGTCTGCTTCCAGAACACCCCCCCCTCACCTCTGCTACCACTGCAGCCAGCAGATTGGGTTAATGTACCACCAGAAGGTTCTGTAACCCTGCTGTGAAAGGCTACCATTGGCTGGATTTTGGGGGAGGGGGGTCACCCAGGAGGGTTGGCCTAGGGAGTTGCGTCTGTGTTGCTCCGGGGATTTATAAACTGCCCCCTGGGCTGGAAGTTAAGAATTGCATGGTCCTCCAGCACTGACCTTTCACCAGCAGACTAAGCAGCTATGGGCGTCGCATACAGCATTCGAGAGTAAGTGCTCACCTGGGACTGCTACGAAAAAACTGTGGAGATATAAAACTTTTTCTCTTGCAATGGGACACAATGGAAGTTCTGCGCATATGTATTTCATAGATTGCTTCCAGCAGACTTTAAGACATGATTCGAAACTGACAGTCATCATTTGCAAAAAACATTTGCCATTGTATTCTGGGGTATGAGTTGGCCATAGCTGGCTAGAAAACATCACTCAAGAACATGTACAGGTAAATTCCTAGAGGAGTGTGTGGTTTTTTGGAATTGAATTGTCCAGGGATACTGTTTTTGTGGAAATGTGCTTGCTTCAGAATTGCTGGGTAATTCACATGTACCTTATATTGAAAGACTTACTTTACAGGAAATAATGTTTTTTTTTAAAGCTCCACTGTAATGTATCTGAGCCCAGAAAATTTGCCGCTATTGTTATACATAAGCCCACTTGGAAAGATTAGATAAGCGTGTCACTGCAGTCAACGTGAGATACTCCCGATGAGGGAAATGTGCGTGTCTGTGCTTATCGTTCCTCTGACTCCCCGTTTAGAGTGGACCACCTGTACACTGTCTTTGTCCCGTGGTCACTGAACGTGAATGGAAAAGAGACTAGACGAAGAAAGCTCATCTCAGTGGAGGAAGATCCATTAAACCTGATGGACAGCCTCTTCAGCGAGCCCATCAACAAGAGCTGGGAGGTAAGTTCAAATAGATGCACAACTATCAGTGACAGTATCGGAGAACCAGCTCCAAATGCTTGCTTCCTCATGTTTCCTAAATGAATTGCTTTTAGATCAGATTCTCAGAAGACAGACCTCCTTCTCTTATACACATTTTAAATGGAATTATTGATTATTTACCTGTCCGTCCTCCTAACCAGTTTCTTCAATAATGCCAGTCGACCTTGGACCCCCAGAGGTTTTTTTTCTCCCTACTTGGGAGTTTTTGGTTCCTCTCCTCCGCTGTATATCTTAATGATGTACGACATAATCATATCACAACACATCCATGTAAAGCACCTTGGAGCAATTCAGTTGTGAAAGGCGCTATTTAAGAATAAATGCAATTAAACTGAATTGAATTATCCTGCTTAGGGCTGGGGGGGGCTGAAACCTACCCCAGGGAGGGCACAGAGCTGCAGTACACACTGCATCCATGGATAGGATGCAAGTACAATGCAGGGCACGTGCAGACAAAATCACACACAGAACTGTATACTTCTGAGTTTTGGGAGGAAACTTTTGCTGAGAATATGCAAATTTTAAAATGTAATTTTACAGTAAACACTGACATTTACAAGAAAATAAAACCTGTATAGCCAGTTTATTCTAATGTTACTGCTATTGTAAAACATTCCCTCTCCAGTTCTAGCACAGCTGAAGGCAGCTTTATTTTCGAGGAAATGAAACTTAAACAGTGATTCAGACAGCCAATAGTGTTTGTGTAGGCAGTCGTTAGATTGGCCAATGAGGTTAATTTGGGGGGAACTTAAATGTAGTAGCGTTGGTGTCACACTGCACAGAGCAGTGTTTCAGGTGAAGAATAGAAGCACAACCAGTCATGAGACCGTTGCCAAGGAACACCAAAATTCTATTTTTTGCCAAACATTGCACGGAGCCCTACGTACAGGTGGGTAGTTAATCAGCCGTCAATCTTGTTGTATATGAAAGAGGGAACAAAATGTGAACTTAATATTTTAGAAACAGTTGCTTGAATGGATTTCCACCTAAAAATCATGCTGCTGTGTTTGAGAAGGAGCTAGAAAGTCAGATTACTGTCTAGCGGTGAAAGGTATTTGGCAGCTGCCAAGCTTCATTGTTCAGCTTCATTGTGAGTCATAGAGTAATAAAGGGAGAGATCAATGTTCATGGTTCCTGATTTGGGAAAATGAAAGGATTCTGCTCCTTTTAAAATCTGCATTTAATTCATTCCCTCAAAACACAAATTTTTATTATTATTAGTATAGGTAGTAGTAGTACTAGTTGTGGTAGCATTATACATATTTTCTGTGTTGCAAAAGGAGTTGGATTAATTAAGTCTTAAGCTTAAAATATGACTGACTCTCCATACTCATACCTTTTAGTTTTAAATAAATATTGTATATCCATTAAACTTTATGTTGGGATGCAAGTGTTAGCTTTGAATTTTCATACCAACTAAAGGTGCAGGACAGGTTTTTAAAGTCTTCAAGTAAAACCATATCGATGTCTGATAATATACATTGAATTTGAAATTCTTCCATTCTTCACTGTGAATCTGAAGGCAGAGAGGCGGAGAAGGGAGAGTTTTGAACCTACATTTGGAATGAGCTCTCATTTAACTGATTGCGACCTGGTTGTTTCTTCTCAGATCATCACGGTCCATGAGACAAAGCAGTGGCAGAGTGTATGCAGCTCTGAAGAGGAGGAACCTCACGGGGACGACTTGGAGGACTTGCTTCTTCCAGAGCTGATTGACCGCAGCGACCTGCTGGGTGAAATACAGTGTCAGAAGGTGAGTTTGAAGGGCCTGTTGGTTGGCTACCAACATCCGAATTCATCTCAGGGCTGCCAACTCTCATGCATCTTGTGTGACACTCCCGCTTTCCGACTCTCACACTCACGCAAGAAATCTTAGGGCAAAACTATATTATTTCATTATAAACCTAAAATTTGCTAATTGAAAGCGCTGTGGTTGTTTGCAAACCGTACAGACTATTTACAAGGTAACAAAACTGTCACATACATGTAAATGAGTGTGCAGACTTGTCTCAAATTCAAAACCTCAATGCAGCCAGGTGATCAAGGTTGGCAACCTTGCATATTCATAGCAAAAAGATAAAAAGGGGATGTTCTGACCTTCTGACCCTGGTGTACCCTAACAAATGAATCTTTCTGCCTTATTTATGAAGTTGCTTAAACCACCAGAATGTTAGGAGAACTTCTGATGAGATGTGGTGACTCATCAGGTGTCAATCTCTGCATCTTCACAGCTAGCCAATCACCTGCCAGCACGGACTCAGGGGAACCCATGGCGACTGGCCTACAGCACAGCTGTACATGGTACAAGTCTGAGAACACTCTACAGATATCTGTCTTCACTGGACAGCCCTGTACTGCTCGTTATCAAGGACATGGGCAATCAGGTACCTTCCACACCTATGCTAATAGCAGTGTTTCCCAATCCGGTCCTTATAGACCCACAGACAGTCCACGATTTTCTTACCTCCCAGCTTTGGTAGGGAGCTCGGAGGGAACAAAAATATGGACCGGCTGTGGGTCCCCAAGGACCGATTTGGGAAATACTGCCAAGAGTATAAATCCTGAACCAGCCCAGCATGTACATGACTGGCTTTGGGCTATTCTTTTTCAGAATGGTGGGTTGGGTTTGGCAGCAGAATTTGACACTCCCCTCTTTTTTGCTTCCCTAAGGTGTTCGGCGCCTTCTCCTCTCACCCCTTCAGAGTCAGCAGCTGCTGCTACGGCACAGGAGAAACGTTCCTGTTCAGCTTCAGCCCTGATTTGAAGGTAGCTCCGTCCCTCCTCTCCCTCTACATGTTCTCCGTACGTTTCTCCTCAGTAGAAAGGGAAGCTTTTTTCCCCCCCTCCCAAAAATCCTGCATGCAAAAGACTCGACTGACGGCAAAACTCTCTGGCAGGTGTTCCGCTGGAGTGGGGAGAACTCTTACTTTGTGAGGGGCCACTGGGACTCTCTGCAAATAGGAGCGGGAGGGTAAGTTTTAGTATGCCTAAACACCCGTCCTAGGTATGCTGTCAAGTGGGGACCGGGCACATAAGATCGACATCTTACGGAGGACTCTTTTGCATCCCTGAACAAGAAGTTCTAAGCTATAAAGATGTGTTCAGCTGGATTGATAAAGAAATATACTGTTTTTGTATGAATAGTTACTGTACACATAAATACACAACTGGACGTTATATTATGTTATGTTAGCATTTTTATTAGTGTCTTGATTGATGCAGTATGTTCCTCTGTTCTCCTCTAGGGGGTGCTTTGGCTTGTGGCTGGATGCTGATCTATGCCGCGGTTCCAGCTTCCCTTGCCAAACCTTCAACAACCAGCCTCTCTCCTCCAAAAAAGACTTCACAGTCCAGGACCTGGAAGTGTGGACCTTCAGTTCGAGAGAGATTTGACTGTACAGGGGGAAGAGTCTCACCTACCTTAAGAGTTTCTGGAACTGAACCAGAGGACAGAATGCGGATGTGGACAAACTACGCTAGAACTACTAGCTGCTGAACCACATCCTGGCATGCATCGGAATCTGTGCCTCGACAGACCATATTCTGCTTGGGCATGGAGAAAGAGGGCAGACTAAGCGAGTTACATCCGGAATGCTCTACCTCAGAGCATCATATACTGTAATGACTTTGCATTCCTGGAGCATTTGGGGTCCAGAAAATTGCAGCCACAGGTGTATCTTGTGTATTTGAAAAGTGTCTCTGAGAGGAGTAGTTTACAGACACAGCAGCCAGGCAGGGGTCCCCTGGTTCATATCAATTCCAAGGACATCACGTTTTTTAGAAGCATTCACCTTTAAATATACAGCCTTTTCACAAGCATTCAAAATATAATAATTATGAAAAAGCAGATTTTTTAATTTTGTATTCTTTTCATGTTTGGTCAGTTTTTAAAGATATTTTAAATTATTCTGAATTTGAGAAGAGTTTATGGGTGTTTGATGTGTGTGTTTGATGAGTGATTGGTCCCTGTTTTTCATGTTGCTATGACGGTGCTGGCACTGTTTTTGTAACCTTGTTTCTAAAATGATAGTAAACCACATGTTTGTCTCTACAATATACTAAATGTACCTATTAAACCCCGGTGAGGGTTCTATTCAAGGTCTGTAAGCTGTTTTTTCTTTGTATAACTATAAAACCATTCTAACTTACGTCCAATCATTTCACATGACTACTCATCCAGTATAGAGTCCCAGTGCATGAGGAGCCTATCGCACAAGTGAAGGGCACAAGGCCTTTGAACAGGCTGGATGCCTCTCCGTTGAAGACACTTACACACTATTTCCCAGAGCTGGAAAGTTCAGGTTCAAAAAGTACAAATCCAGACCTAAGATTTTGTGTTAACCATCCAACCGAGCATAAAGAGTAACATTCACAGAGTAATCAATTGGTTGATTGAAACAAAATTTTGGTCTGGATTTATGCTTTCTGAATAGGAAATTTGTAAACAACATTTCACCTAAGTACATCTTTTTAAAATGCCGGGGAACACCGGAGTGCAAAGAGGAAACCCACGTAATCACCAGGAATGTTAGGGTTACGGTTAGAGTCCGAGCTTCACAAACATACTGAAGTATGTAAAAGTCACCAAAGCGCTGTTTACTCAATAACTGCAGAGTTCCAAACTTTCACTAGCATTAACCCCAGCACAAAACTATGAGCTGAGAGCTTCGTGGAATGGGCTTCCAAGGCTGAGTAGCTGCATGCAAGCCTCACATCACAAAGTGCAATGCGAAGCACTGGATGCAGTGGTGTAAAGCACAACGCCACTGGACTCTGGAGCAGTGGAAATGTGTTCTGTGGAGTGATGAATCACGATGATCTGTTTGGCAGCCTGATGGATGAATCTGGGTTTGGCAGATGCCAGGAGAACGTTACCTATAATTCTACCACCTGTAAAGTTTGGTGGAGGAGGGATAATGGTATGGGGTTGTTTTTCAGGGGTTGGGCTAGGCTCCTTAGTTCCAGTACTTGAAGGGAACTCTTAATGTTTCAGCAAACTAAGATATTTTGGACAATTCCATGCTTCCAACTTTGTGGGGACAGAAAGAAGGCCCTTTTCCAAGTCCTTAAAGACGTGGTTAGGTGAGTTTGCTGTAGAAGAACTTGACTGGAGCCCAGACCTCAACCACATTAAACACATTTGGGGTGAATTAGAACAGAGATTGTGGGCCAGGCCATCACATCTAACATCAGTATCTGATCACAAATGCTCTTTTGGATGAATGGGCAAAAATGAATGAATGAATGAATGAATGAATGAATGAATGAATGAATGAAATTTATTGCCATTAAACATTCAGTACAATGAAACACTGTTTTGCTACTCTCTGATCATTAAAATGTACCAGCAAAGACAAAAAAATCTCACAGACACCCTCCAAAATCTTATGGAAAGCCTTCCCAGAAGAGTGTCAGCTGAAAAAAGTTTTGTTCACATATTCAGCAGTATTTGCAATATTATTATAAGCTTTTATAAAATGTTCATTGTACACATTGAGGATAATGTAAAAATACCAGTAAAACAATGTTCATTTTCAATGGTTTGCCATTTTACTTAGAGGATCGTAAACTGTAATTCCTTTGCTCTCTTCCTGTGGGTGCAGGTGTCTGATTTGGACGTTGCTTGTTTGTCAGCACTTCCCACTTTCTGTTACTGGCAGTTAATCTCATTGTACCGATAAACTGCCAGGCTTGGACATGACTGGAACTTTGGAATGCACCTGTGTAGGAGGTAAAAACATGCCTACATCTGTCCCCTCGACAGCTCAATGCTTGTCAACATGAACACACTGAAAGCAGCACAATGTCATTTATTATTTTACTAGCTTATATAAATACATACATAAAGAATAGTGTAGCGCAGTGACAACGATGTCACATATGAGCTATGGGGTCACGAGAACCCAACCACTGCTGTTTGCATATACAGTTGCACACCCCCTCTCACTACTTCCTAAATTCTTCACAGGTATGAACTAATTAAGTGAAACTGTTAAAAATCTGGCAATGCAAACTCACTGAAGGAGAACCACAAGGCAGGTTGTAACCGAGGTGTGTAACCAGAAGCAGTGAGAGTGTGAGGTCTATACAGTCCTACATCAAATAACTAACATCTTCTCTCACAATCAGATTTCAGCAAGTTAATAAACACTGGATTTCACAATTCCCCAACGGCTGCATCTGGTGCTTCCTTCCCATGAATCCTACTGGCTTGCCGGTAAATAGAGCACATGCCACTGAGCATTTCTTTAGCTCACATTGCACGTGGTATGATCTATATTCAAAGCACAATATTTCACCATTAGTGCCATTGAGGGTTTCTTTTTTTAAAATCAGTTGCCAACTATCGCCAAGAAGAATCTGTTCATAACCACCCTCCCTACACAGTTGCCCCAGAAACACAAGATTTGGGAAAAAACAGTATAATATGGCAGATAAAGTAAGTGTACACACCCCTGTTAAAATGCCAGGTTATTGTGGTGTAAAAAAGTGAGACCACGACATATCATTTCAAAACATTTCCCACCTTTAATGTGACCTATAACCTGTACAATTCAATTGAAAAACAAGTAAATCTGTTAGGGGGAAAAAAATGTAACGATAACAAAAAACATACAATAAGCAGGTTGCGTAAGTGTTCACACCCGTAGACTAACACTTTGTTGAATCACCTACTGATTTAAATACAGTATTCTGTGAGTGTCTATCAGCATGCAGCATCTCGACTTGCCAGTATCTGCCCACTCTTCCTTACAAAAGCGCTCCAAACCTGTCAGACTGTGAGGACATCTCCTGTGCACTGCCCTCCTCAGGTCACTTTTCAATTTTCAATTGGATTTATCTCTGGGCTCTGGCTGGGTCATTCCAAAGCTTTAATTTTCTTCTGGTGAAGCCAAATAAATAAAACCTCATAGAGGAGTGAGGGACAAAACAGGTTAAGTATACTGGGGTAAATTAACTGAAGCAAGTGAGTGTTATGAGCCGTAACCATGGGGGGAATTTATACTTGAGAGAGGAGGACCTCTGGTGGCAGAGAAGGGAAGTGCATATATGACAGAACTCCACTTCTTGCAGGCAGAAGGTAAAGCCTGAACCCTTTAATGCGCTGATCTGCCTCTGAGTTGAAGAGAAATGAAAGTTACACGTTTGGTCGAGAATAGGGCTTCCCGGCTTTTTAATTACCATGAGCCTCTTTATGTTACGCAAGAATTTCACGGACTGGTAAAACTTGTTGAACCGGGGGGATCAGGGACGAGGCAGTCCTGATTGGAAGACATCTCAAGTGAAGGGGCGGACATTTCTGCCAGCAAAACATGTTAACCCGGGTGGGGGGTGGGGGGTTGACAAGGTGTGTCTAATAATTTTTTTTGAAGCGCAGCTGCTGGTCCAAGGATCTGGGGTTGGAAACCCCTACTGTACAATATCCCCATCTGGCATCCCTCAATACCCCCCAAGTCCATATCCTAGATCCTTTCTAGTTCACCGGGTATAGTACAGTAACCAACCCCATAGCATGAAGTCCAGGAGGATACAGACGTGTGATTGGGGCAAAAAATATTTCCCCTGCCAAATTCAGAGGTGGCAGAGAATGACAGACTGGACTGAAATTCAAGACAATAGACAATAATAGACAACAATGATGACTCAATAAAATGCAACAGTGTTCCAAATAATGATGAAATGGGTTGGCACCTTTTCAAGTGACATTTCTTGCAACATCAATCTCTGGATATGTTTGGAACATTGACTGGTGAACATTTGGTGACTTAATAAATCTGATCTCATCTGCATATGTAAAGTCAAGTAGAGAGATACTGGTCTCAAGATAGCTTCCTGCTGACAGGGGAGTAAAAGTTACTGAGGGATATTGAGGGGGTATTTACACATACTAAAGATTTATATAAATCCTACACTGTTCCTGTTGAAAGAAATACGATGAATAATTAATTAAATCAAATATTTGGAGATTTTCAGTAGTAGAAGAAATATTTGACTATTTAATGCATCTGATCCTTTGACATTTTAGCATCATTTATATAAAATCATTTCATGATTAAATATGTATACATGACATTTTATATAGATTCAATTTTACACTTAATTTGAAGTAGATATCATTCAATTTGAATGCTGCATTACTCTTTATCCACTGCAGGTTAGATGCCATCCAAGGCATGAACAAATCAATTTTGTGGGTAACTAGCTTCAGTTTTCCTTTCTCTTTAATGTATAGCTGTGCAAAAAAGATATTTAATATTTAAAGTAAAAACTAAAAGATACTTAATATTTAAAGTAAAAGTAAACCACATGGATCACTCTTTACTTCAAAGGCTGCATGGTGAATGAGTGTACAACACTAGTGCCTCACAGCTTTAAAGTCCAGGTTCAAATTGTGTGTGTGGGTGTGTGGAGTTTTCATATTGTCTCTGTGTCGCATGGGTTTCTTACCATGGTGCCTTGTTTTTCTCATCCCTTATCGGACGTGGCAGCCCTAATGACAATGTGAGCCCACTCACAGGCTTCGCCTTTACGAAACCAAAGCGATGGTTATTAATTTATTGTGCTCGGGTTCTTGCACATCTCCTTTTCTGAAGGCACACCCAAAGTGAGTTTTCTGGCTATACCACTGGCCTGCATGATGTCCTACGCTATTTTGGACAGACTCCAGGACATGCAGCAGAAAGACGGATTGTTGAATGACAGAAATATGGCAAAACAAATAGAAACATTTAAAACACATGACTGCTATCGTGCATCATTTTTATGTCTGCTAAACCCTGTATTGAATATGAAGCTGGATGGATGGATGGATGGATGGATGGATGATGGATGGATGTCTGTTAAACTGAGAATATGGTGTTATGTTAATATTAAGTATTGTATTATATTCATGATGAGTATTTAGATCCAGAAAAATGGCTGCAACATCTGCAAAAATGGGTAAATCTGACCAGCTGCATAGGAAGAGCAGAAATGTGAAGTGACTGAACTGCCCTCCATTGATTAGATATAAAAGAATATTACAGGACCCAAACCATCCTGATCACAAGTTGTTTTCACAACTGGAGTCTGGTATGATGCAATGAAACATTAGAACAGTACCAGATTAAAGAACAGTTTCTTCCCCCAAGCCATTCACATGATGAATAGCTGTCTAGTATCTATTTATTCTTTATTTATTTGTATATTATTGTTCTTTGTATTGGGTGAGACTTGAAGAGTAAGCATTCCATTGCACGAATTGTACATGACAGGAAAAAAATCTCGAATTGCTACTGATGCAAACTACTAGAGGTAATGATTTGACTAACTTTTGAAAAGAATAAATGGTAAATTTCCCTGTAGGTCAAAATTTAATATTCAGTACTGCTATATTGATTAAGCTATTTATTAGCCATTTATTTAGTATATAATAGTATATATAGTAGCGGTGAGGCACCGCCAGGCTGGACATTCCGAATCCGAACGATTCCCAAATGATTTGTTTAGCGGAGACGTTTTAGCAACCATGCCCCCTTGCCCTGGTCGAGCACCCGCCCTACGAACAGTCTTTACACTGCACTGCTCCGAAAGTATTAATACTTCAATACCTCAATTAATACTTCAATTAATACCTCAATAATAATCTATCAACTGTCCTGCGTACAGGCACGTACGTATTTAATCTTCGTGGGCGTTCAAATATCTCCCGTGCAGCGAATCGATAATTGTTTGCTTTTCCCTTTAACTCGATGTTTACCGAAATCATCTACATCTCCTGGTCTGCAGACACTCGTTAAGATGGCTACGAGTGAAGGTACGGAGGTCGCAGAAAGAAGCGGAGAAAACAACAGCCACGGTCAAAACGATGGATACGATAATAAATGCATATTTTGCAAGATTATCAATAAAGAAGTTAAATCTGATCTGCTGTATTCTGTAAGTATGAAAAGTCAAACACCAGGTTTTGTGCTAGCTCTGACAATGACAGTGATTAGATGTTCTAGTTATCGACGGTCAGTAAAAACCAGGAGTGAAGCAAATTTTTAGAACTTCATGAAATATTACTTATGTAGCTGCTCATGTGAGGGTATTGGCTAGTATAGTGCTTGAATGCAGAACAGGTGTTGTGCTCTAAACTGTCCCCATTCCCCCTCCTCTTTTTAAAGGCAACATCGCATCGCGTCTCCTGCGCGGCAGAAGCGAGCGCTCGCTGTAACTTTATTTTAATTGCCTTATGCAGACTAAAAAAAACCCGAACATTACTGGTTTATTATGATATTTTACAATCAAACCTTAAGTCAAGTTTAACAACCTCCTGTAAAACGTTGTAAATGTGACACTTGCTACTTCTGCATTCAAACGCGAGGTATAATCAATAATGCTTTTCTTTTCGCACCGTCACACCTGGAAATGATATGACATCGAACCAAACACCAAAAGTAATGAGAAATCGGCAATTTTTCACCGCAGCGATTAAGACACGGGGGCAGTTTAGAGGACAACACCTGTCCCTCTTCTAGAGTACCGGTACTCTAATCTGCCCGCACTGAAGAACAAGGGGCCTACTGACACCGGTTTTCCCCCACTTAAAGCCATGTTTGCTACGATACACTATTTAAATCATTAAAGGCTGAGACAGATGGAGTCCAGTGATTTGACTTGGCTTCTTTAATGAACTAAAATTGACGTTACACGCAATACACTAATCATTACACTGTATACCAACCCCAAAATAGACGATAATTGAACATAGGCACAGAATGATGTACAACATTTTTGTCTGTGTCGCCACAGGATGAAGAGCTTTCCTGTTTCAGAGACATACACCCTGGCGCGCCACATCATTATCTGGTGGTTCCTACAAAACATGTTGGGAACTGTAAATCCCTGCAGAAAGATCATATTCCCTTAGGTTAATAATAATTATACACAAGTATCTTATTTTCTAAAGGTGCAATGTCTTAGAATATTGTGCTTTACCTGGGTTGGCCTCATTTATTGCCTGTCAACAGTGGAGAAGATGGTAGAGTTGGGGAAGACCATCCTGCAGAACAATAATGTAACAGATCTTGAAGATATCAGGTATGATGATGCTCACCTTTCCCTGCAGTATACAGAGAGATTGTCATTTTGCTTCATTTGAAAGGCTTATTGTTTACTTTGGATTTTCGCAGTGGGTAGCACTCCAGCTTCACAATGCCAGGCTTGTAGGATCAATTCCCATCCACGGCTTTTAATATTTTACAAACTTTACTGTATTTATTGACCTGGAAAGATTTCTGGACTATCCGCCCATCTTCTGATGACTTTTCCCCGTCAGGGGTCACAGGGTTTGTCTGTACTAACGGAGGTTAAATACTACAAACAATCTTCACAGGCTGGGCTTCCATTGGCCTCCTTTCTGCTCTGTAACTCACCTGCACCTCCACGTACTGGCACCAGTCAGTCAGATGGGCTTTACGTCACGCCTCATATACAGACCCAACTCCATGTGGTTTATCACGGTAAGCACTTCTGCCAGATTCTTGGGTCACATTACTCAGAATGCACTCTTCAGTTGTCAATTTAAAATGAAGTTGATCCATTAAGTACAGTTTGGTCACCACTGGTGTCCAACGATCACTGCATTGTTCTTCATGCATTTTGTACATAGAGCTCATCTCGATGCATGCTTTCTCATATATCCTTGTGTAGACCACAATGATGCACTGCCAAATACCAGCAGGAAACCAGACCCAAAATTGATTCTTCTGTGCCTGTCTATCTGTGTTCAGGTTGACCAGCTGATCCAGAGGCTGAACCTCATGAGCAGTGACCCGGTCCAGTGAAACACATTCTGCTCTGTCAGCCAGGGCATTCATACCTTAGTGCTCTTTCTGTCTCTGCATGGGCCGCATCGGGAAGATCACTGACTCAATGTTTGGAATAAGTTCAGAATATGCTGCTAATCTCCAGCATTGAATCACATTTATTACGTTAAATCACAGCGTGATGCGAGTACAATGTGATATGCAGCACTGACGGTTGTAACTCATAAGCAGATGAGTATGTAACTTGATATAAACCATCAAAAACTGTAACTCAGTAAAATTTTGTCCTTTTTTTTTTTCCTATTTGCAAATATGCTTCATAGAAGCATGGATACCCTTCTGAGACGAGTCCTAAGTCATTTTCTCTAACTGGAAGGTTTTATGCCCCCATGAACTTCATGCAGCTTAAGACTAATTTCTCAAATTGTTCCTGTCCAATTACATAAAAGGTTAAGTGCCACATTTCACCATAGCTGACATAAGTCATTTACCCATAATGCACCTGCTGGATATACAGCTGTCACTGTCCTCCAACTTCTGTGGATCATTAACATAGTGTTGCTTGATTGAATGTATTGCCAGGAACAGAACAGTTAACAGTATAAAGAGTGATGCATAATGACATAAAGAACTAACCTTTAAATAATGTATAAAGGCAGGAAAGGCTCTCAAGCTGAGGGCTTGGTTTGGATATGGTTGTAAATTTAATGTTCATGTCTGTATATTGAAAAATAATTATTGTAATAAATGCTTTGTCTGATGGCTTGATGGAGATTTGTGTCCAGATGAACAATTAAACAAATAGGATTCTTGCATCTCAGTAATTTACCCCTATATTATTTTCCCTGAAATTCATTAAAAGCATAAGCATAGGAAACAGAGCAGTCGGCCCATTAGGATCCAGTGCTTATCACAGAATAACTATAGTTTTAACCACAGTAAATCACAAAACTGGTGAATATCTATTCAAATGTCTATGTCTCTCAGTAGCTTCTACATTGGCAATGCAGTAACTTAGCGGAATGGTGGATATCGATTCTGTAACCAAAGTACATGAAAGCTGGTGAGTTACTGTATAACTAAGATTTTGTAATATGTTAGTGGAAAATATGTATACACATCATTTAAAGACACACAACCTCAAGACCAGTAGTCAACACCTACAGTGTACAATGGCACTTTATTCCTATCTTGTATTAATGTCTTAATTTTCCTTTTTAGATAGTATATGGATACATTGTTTCCACTTTATAATTTGACATTTTTAAAGAAGGTTTACTTGTATAAGTGAACTATGCTGAGGTCAGGCCCCCCAGTGGACTGGCATTCCAGGTGGGGGTCTTGTCCGGGGGTCACCATTTCACGCCGTAGTTTAATTGGATATGACCAGCACTGATCACCGCAGCAGAGTAATGAGGACCCCGTCGTCCCGTCCCTGCCACAGCATCTCGCCTTCAAAGTGGACCAGTCCTTGGCGCCGAGCCCGCAGCAGTACTCCCACCACCTTGTTGGAGATGCTGACGTAGCACTCGAACAGTCTCCCGAACTCAACCGTGACTGTCCCATCCTTACTTCGCTCGCCTATATCTTGGATGACGTCACACAGCTCCTTCACTTCTCTCCCGATGTGTGAGTGTGCATCGAAACCTCGCTGCTCCGTTTTGGATCCCTCCTGGGGTCTTCCATACCCCGCCTGTCCCTTTCTGATGCGTGTTGCCACGTCTCTGCCATCGCTAAACGGGTTGTGTTTCTGGTACTCCCGGTGATCGCTGGACCATTTCTGCCAGCTGTCCTTTAACCCTTTCACAGAGCTTGCACATGATCCCGTTATAGTGTTACCCGTATCATCCGCATTATCCGTATTCATGATAGGGCTACTATATAGGAACACACAGTGGATCAGCTTACAACCAGGCATGTCATTTTCTGCAAGGGGGAAAAGGTCGTATTGGATTCGCAAGCAAGTTCTGCTTATAGTTGATGAACTAGTAATCATCATATCAAATATACCCTTCTTTAAAATGTCTTTGGTCAAAATTTTATATATGTTTTGTACATTTTAATAATACATCTCATTAAAATTTTCCTTTCAAACATTAAAATATTTGTTCCACCTTGATTAACCATTCGCACATTACCATATAAGGTAACGTGTATTCATCGGCCAGCAAATACCCAGGTCAGATTGCGCACATTGCAGGTAAATAGCGTTAATGTTGACAACAGCCTGTTTTACAAGTAAACTATAGCGACTCTCGAAACGACGATGCATGAAGTACGCGCACAAACGTTAGCATAAACAGATACAGTTATCGAAAAGTCTCATATACACAATCCATTAGTATCATTGTTATTTCCCAGATGTGCTGCAACTTTCATGTAGGTTTAAAATTATTTTTTGCTTAACTACAGACATTTTCAACATACAAGTGGCGACGTACGTTATTGGTCTTGTCTCTGAGATTTTTCATCCTATTTACATATAATCACAGATTTGCATTTACAGTAACTTTTTACAAACCTTCCTTACTTGTCACGATGTTTATTTGTCTTCAGCCTCGCGGGGACACCCCGACGGTAACATTCCTGTTATCTTTACTTTGCACTCTGCACAGCTTAAGTGCGGATGATGCGGATACTTTCTGACCTCATAACACTGATTGACGTGTTCGGAAGCCAATCAAAACTTCGGGCCGCTTTACATGTCAATTGTTATCCAATCATCTGTTGTTGTTATACCGATGGGCTGAGTTTAGAAAAAGAATCTTATGAGGTTGGTTTTAGGTAGATGCGTTTGCGAATGCTTACTTCGACCGCACAGGGAATACATACAAACTGATTTAAAGACAATTTTCAGTTGGGTGACATTATTGATATGAAAACAGACTGCAACCACTGAAGCACTATCTAGCTCAAAGACGGTCCTTTCCTATGTATATACACTCTACAAACAAACAGATGTATCTATTTGCCTGCCAGTTCATTAATCGGAAATGACAATTACTGGTTTGCAGAAATACTTCACAATACATAGAAAAATATAAGCTCAATCACAGAACACATGTCACACAGCACAAAATGATGAACATGGCACTTACTGTATCTCTATTTTGTCATATATTCTCTCATACACTCTTAAATCCCTGATTACGATTGACAAAATATTACTTCTTGTGCAATGCAGCCTCATAGCATCATGATGTCTATGTTTACAAGGAAAGATATCATAAATAGTACTGTTTAGAAAGTTCTGCTAAATATTCCATGCTTCTAAACTGTAAAGCAGTGAATATCTTTCAGTTATATCATGTTAAATCTACTGAAAAAAACACATATTATTGGAGTGTTGTATTTAAAAAACCTTCTTGCCACTAGCTCTTTTTTGTTGTGTCATCAGCATCTTTTTTGTAATTCTGTCAGTATTTTATGTATACCTTTAATTTATATAAACAAATTAAAAGTTGTGACTAGCAGCAATTGTGAAACATGATGTGGAACCCCATGTAATAGGGACGTATTTCCGTAAGGTCTGTTTTAGACGTAACACGCAACATGGCGCTTCACTGTAGTCGAGCGTGTAAGCAATATTTGCTACATCTAGCACAAGATAATATTGAATTTAGACTACCGGTACGTCTTCATCCATTTCAATGAATTTTCTGTTTATTTAGCATATTTCAAAGGTTTGGTCGCAAAAAGTGAATTTTCGCTGACCGCAAAAAGACAATTTTCCCCATTCAGTTTTTTTCAATTATCTTTCTTGTGCAAAAATAAATCGCTAGCTGTTTTGTTAGCCACAGTGTAATTTTTATTTTTCATATTTGCCACCTAGACGACCGGTCCGATACCTTTAATATATAAAGTACTATATACTGAATTTGAGCTAAGTGCGATTTCATATATCATGCAAAGTGATTGTAGTACCTATTTGTGCAGTCACTGTTTAACCCTGTCTAATCTTTTACAGGAGATCAAGGCACTGCTATCGCTAAGAGGCAAACAATTCTGTCCCACAGAAAACTTTAAAGAAAGGGTAAACCGTATTTACTCAACAATAACTTGTCTAGTAAATCTGGGTTTTGTAACGGAATACAAAAAAAAACTAATATCAACCTTTCCACCCACAATCTAAATAGTCTCCATTCTGGGTTCTGAATAATGTGTCTGAAGATGACGTGCTCAGTATCATGGGAAGAACTGTGTGTGCCAAGTAAGTGTTCGAAGAACAATTGAACAATAATTATCCCAGTTTAAATAATTTGAGGGGCTACAATAGTTTTAATTCTTCTAAAGGAACCATGTGGTAAAGTTGTTGAAGGGTTACCATTCTAAGATGAAGTAGGAATTATTTCAGACACTGATTCTGTTAGCAGGAAAGTAAACATTCGACTGTTCATGATATGATTTAATAAGATCGAAGGAATTTAAAGGGATGTAGTTCTGTTGGAAAATATTTTTCATGTCTTGTGCCTCAGATCAGTGTTTGAATTATGGGGTCATGGACGAACACCCAGTGAACTGCAGGCATCCCTTCAGAAATATCCTGCAGATGACATGGTGAGTGAAAAACTAAACGACTGTAATAAAACAAAACCAGTTAGCCACTGGTACTTACATTCGTTTCTCCTCTTCATTGACAGGCCCCTTTTATACAGAAAGAGTCAACATATAAAATAAATGTGTATACGTTCAACAAGACCCTGGTCTTCAAGGACAGAATTAAGAAGATCGATGTGAGTATCATACTGGACAGTCTTTTAGAAGGAGCGGTAGTGGAACTGAACAGAAGGGGACCTTCCTTTTCTAGAAGCCATTACCCTCGTCACGTGTTCAGTCTTTCTCCATCCAGTCTGTCATTTGTGTTCCATCCATTCATCCATGCCACTTTATCCAGTATAGGCTTATCCTGGACTGCTTAGGGCACAAGGCTGGGGAACAACCTGGATGGGTTTCCAGCAGGGCTCATTTATTTTAGTTAAAAGAATAAAGCAGTGGTGGACACATAGAAATTGGTCATGTCTACTGCTTTGTGTGGGTGGAGTGAATGCCGGTGTAGGTCAAAAGCTGGGCATGGATGTTGGTGTTGGGAAGTTATGTGTTCAGTACCTAGTTTTATCAGTTAGTTCTTTGTCTGTGTATGTATTTTGTAGATCAGGGTGAAGAGTGTAATGATCCGTCTTTTATCTCCAGGCCTTGGAGTTCCTCCCATTTCAAGGAAAGGTGAACTTGAAGAATCCAGAACATATCTTTTGTTTGCTGGAGGATTATGGCTCTGATCCCAATAATATTCCGGATGAGCCTTTCTGTGTATACTTTGGCCGATGGGTGAGCATGTCAGATCTTCCTTGATGGGAGCTTAAGCAAGGAGTGTATGTGGTCATCCAGCTTTGTGGCTTATTGTAGTAATATTTTCATCTGCCCAAACTACCAACCCACCCTCTGCAGATTGCTGATGGCCAGCGAGTCCTGATTCGCTCCCATAGCGTGAAGACAAGGCATTTTATCGGGAACACCAGCATGGATGCGGGCCTGTCCTTCATCATGGCCAATCATGCTCGTGTCAAAGCCCACGACCTGGTGTTTGACCCATTTGTTGGGACAGGTGAGGTGCCCGACGTGAAGGTCAAATTGTCACAACTGGCTTGTCACATTCTTTTTATGATTACAAGCATTGTAGGTTCACAGTGGAACAAGGAGGACAAAACATGATCCAAACAGACAAAAATAATAATTTTGTTTGTTTCTTTGGTATTTTTAAATATATTTTTTTTAAGTTTGAATACAAACAAAGGTGATATAATTTCTGTGTGTGAGGGAGATGCAGTGGAAAAGGTGGTACATTGTCTGCGTATTGGGTCCTGAACACATCGACTCAATTGGACACAGTCTCTGTAAGCGTCCACACTGCAATCTGTCCTGGCATTCACCTGTCTTTTCTTCCACTCAGGCAGCCTGCTAGTTGCATGCTCACACTTTGGAGCATACGTGTGTGGAACAGACATTGATTACAACACAATCCATGGAATAGGTATGCAAATATACCATATGTATTAGGTTGTACATCTTCAGCTTTCAGGGAGGTGAGCTCAGCTTTTGAGCAAGATTTCTGACGTCAGTGAGAGAGATGGAACCTACACTGTCTTTTGTTACATTTCACCATTGCACTACATTATTGGGGGGGAGTGTGTGGCTCAGTGGGCTAAACCTCGGTGATCCGAAGGTCCTCCAGCTCCATGGGCACAACAACAGGTGGCTGCCCTTCATAGCCAGCCCACTGTCACCTATAGAGAGGAAGCTGGGGGAGGCGTAAAAGAGAATTTCCCCAAGAGGACCAATAAAGTACCACTAATTATAATAATTTGTTTGGTCAGAACTTTTCTCCTAAGGGATTTGATTACAGCTTTACACTAAGCGGTTTGAGTAAAGTCCCGTACCTCAGGCCAAAACATGCTTCCTTCCTTGAATTTTCAACCACAGTTGTCCTGTGTGTGGGAGCATGATTGGCAGCACTTGGACGCTCCAGGGTCTGACCGTCAGTGTTGTTATTGCAGGAAAAGCATCCAGGAAGAACCAGAAGTGGCGTGGCCCAGACGAAAACATTCGGGCCAACCTCCGCCAGTATGAGACTGAGCAGTTCTATGTGGATGTCCTGGTGTCAGACTCGTCCAAAGCCATCTGGAGACAGGGGCCACTGTTTGACGCCATCATCACTGACCGTACGCTCATAATCTATCACTGTGAAAGGTGGCATGCTACCAATATTTCTGCTTTTATCCTGTCCAGCAATTAAATGTCAGAAGGGGCCCTACTGCCCATTATCAGCTGACTTGCGTGTTTGTTTCCTCTCTTTCTTAGCTCCATATGGTATCCGTGAATCTACTAGGAGAACAGGCTCCCAGAAAGAGTCCAGCAAGCCAGCAGAAGACTTGTGGGTGTGCCCCCCCCCCCACCCTACTCCCTCATCCCTTTCAGTAGAGATTGTCCCTTCCCTGTATCTTCTCAGTATTGCCCTTCTTATCCAGTACAGCAGTGTTTCCCAACCCTGTCCTCGGGGACCACCAGACAATCCACATTTTTGCTGTCTCCCAGCTCCCAACACCAGGTATTCGGTGTTCTTGATTGGCTGGGAGCTGGGAGGGAGCAAAAATGTGGACTGTCTGGGGATCCGCGTGGACTGGGTTTGGAAACACAATAGTAGAGACCTTTTAATCTTCTCACAGTGACAGTTGTTATATATGGTATAGTTGTTATAATCTTAAGGTCTTTTCATCTTAAATATGATTTTGACTCATGATCTGTTGTTTGATCAACACTGTTGTTAAACAGTGTTTATATTTCCATGTTGTGTGTACCCTCCGTTCATTTTTGAAGATGTCCTCTTTGTTGTGCCCTAGCGGCGGAGAGAGTCACGTTCCTGTTTCCATGGCGTATCACCTGAGTGACATCTTTAGTGACCTGTTAAGCTTTGCGGCCCACTGCCTGGTGATTGGAGGGAGACTGGTTTACTGGCTGCCAGTCTACAGACCAGAGTGAGTACCAAATATGTCCTGAATGCGCTCTGTAAGATTGTATTTGGGAGGCACAGTGGCTCAGTGGGTAGCGCTGTGGCCTCACACCTCCAGGTTCTGAGATCTTGAGTTTACACCTGTCTTGTGCCTTGCGGTATCTGAGATAGGCCTGAGTCCTTCCTGCGAGTAGCTGGAAGATGAATGTATACAGCTGTGCTGTATAATACCTAAGCGATATTTTTAATCCTTGGTGGCCCTTCTGCAAAATTAACTGTGAAATCCTTATGCGCTGTATTTATGTTTGAATGCTAACAGGTATGAACTCTACCTCTTGCTACATTATTGTTTAATTTATGGCTTGAGTACACGGTAATTATGCAGCTGTCCACCAGGTGGCAGTGTAAGCCAGTAAGTGATGGTCTCGCACACTTTATTCTAGCAGTACCTTTCTCACATAAGCCATGAGTGGAGCACACAGCTGTGTTAAAGCAGGTATGAGAAAGAAAAAAAAACGGGCACTCTGGTGTGCTCAAAATACCACCCGTCAACTCCACATTAAAGGGCCGGAGAACTGACAGAATGGGCATCCTCAAGCATGAAAACATAATTATACTTCACTCTGTCCTCTGTCAGTTCTCCTTTTTGTGACACACCAACCTCAGCAGCTGAATGTCTCCTCAAAATTCATTAAAACTGCATATTTTTCCTTATTCACCTCATGGGTAGGAAGAGGCATGGATGCCGTCTGGAGGGAGTGTTTGGGTTCCTTTGTGGCTGCTTCCATCACCCTGGTGTTGCCATATTGGACCGGTGAGGTTAGCCTACACAGGGAGACTCAGGCAGCATGACATCTGTCAGGGTCCCTAGATGCAGAGGTTCAGCCTCCGGACTAGAGAAGTATTGGGTTTCCTTGGACATTCTTGGGGGTGTCATTGATGGCAGCCAGCAGATGTGCCAGACCAGGTCCAGAGGAGACCAGGTCAGGCACATGACAGGTCTGTGGCTCTGGGTTGTGGAGTTGAGGTGACAGACAGGAGAACAGGGGTTGTCAGTGAAATGAAATTGTATCGAATCACACTGAATTGCAATAGTGGTAAATCATATCGTAGCGCATTAGTAGCTGCTTTGTTGGCAATGCATGGAGATGTGTATCTCACTGACCTCAGTGATGGAGATGTGTATCTCACTGACCCCGGTGATGGAGATGTGTATCTCACTGACCCCGGTGATGGAGATGTGTATCTCACTGACCCCGGTGATGGAGATGCACATCCCTACCTAGATGGCTTGACAGAGATCTTCTGGGATGGATGTTTAGACCTGGTAGTGTGACCTGACTAACCACAACTGTGGCTATTTTTCACAATGGCTAGGCTGCTAATTACTGCTATCGGCATGGTAGAATATAACAATATATTTATGATTCCTCTTATTTATCATCTCTTATTGAAGTGTCGTCTCCTTTGTAAGCTTCTGTTTTTTGTTGTTAAAATGCACCCTGATGGGGGAAAAAAAATACAGTTGTTCGACTTTAGGAATCACACTTGACTTGGGAATCTCCGACGGAATTTTGGAATAGTCGACTTTCAGGGAAAGGTTCCACTACTGAGCATGCTCAGAAGCTGCGTGATGTCTCCTAGGTACCGGGAGGAGATTGTCCCCCTGCACCCCTGCCTCAGGCTAGTCAGCAACTGTGAGCAGACCCTGTCCAGTCACACGTCCCGGCGCCTCATCACCATGGAGAAGATGAAGGAGGTGGAGGTGAGGGAGGCGGCTGGGGTTTGGGCCTGTGGGAGGGACATTATAGATGTTCAGGTGTCCATATACCAGTGTCCTTCTGAGCGTCACATTTACGTCTCACTAATGACTAGTCTTTGTGGGGTTCTGTTTCCTAAAGGAGTGTTGTGTTTTACAGTGCTATTACATATTTTATAAAGGTTTCTTGAGAGTATTAAAGCAGGACCTATCCTAGGATTTGAACCAGCAGTGTTTGAGTTACAAATCCTTAGTCCCTTCACTACCTGCTGCCGTGACTAATCTCTGTGCTTTACATGCCTAAACTACATGTAAACCATAGCAATGGCTAGTGGACCAGCTGTCTGTGGGATCTCCCCTGCAGGATTCAGACAAGCAGGCACTGGTGCTGGAGTCCCGCTTCAGCCCCTATCAGGGTCACAACGCCTTCCGGGAAAAGTACTTCAGCGGAATCACCAAGCGCAGCGGGAAGAGTGACGGAAGCACGCTGGTGAATGGCAGCGACTGACCGGCATGGCAAAAGCGTGCAGGCGGTGATTCTGTCTGACTGGTGGATCCATGTGGGTCTGTAGGAAAATACTTATTTTCTGCTTTTTTAAGCTTTCTTTTTCATTTTATGAATGTTTTTCTTCTACTGCAACACTGTACGGAGTGTTTTTTTTAATTATAAATTATTTTTTAAGGCAAGTCCATCTGTTTGTCAGTGATTAACACCAAATAAATTTGAACTGACAGCATGTTTTCCAGCCTTTTTCTGTTCTTTTTTTCTTACAGTTCATTCAGGGTGTTTTTTCCCTTTTTAGTGCTGTGTGTGATGTAGCGGCAGGCAATCTTGCCTTGGGTACCGAGGAGGTTTTAAATTGTTTTGATTCTTTTTGCACTAATATCTTGGATTCTGTTGCTCCCCTTAGATCCAAGCACACTAAAGCGCTTTCTGAGCCATGGCAAAATGAATCTGCCCGTGCCCTCCGCCGTGCTTGCCGGTGTGCCGAGAGAAAACTAATTTTACATAAACGCCTTTCGGAGTACCAGAGAGCTGTTAAGGCTGCAAAAATGGAATATATGTCTTCTCTCGTTTCTAATAATGCTCAAAAGCCTCAAACTCTGTTTAACCTTTTTATCCACCATCATCCACCCTTTGCAATTCATTTTTAAACTTTTTTATTGACAAAATCTGTTCTCTTCGGCTGAAAACTATCATTTCTGTTTCCACTGTTTTTATCCATTCTACTCATTATCTGAGCTCTGCTGTTTTTAACCGGTTTGAGCCAGTATCCTTCTCGTCACTTTCAGGCTTAGTAAAACAGCTGCAGCCTACGTGCCTCTCTGATAGTAATCTTTCTCACCTCCTTAAAGATATTTTTGATACTGTTGGGACAATTGTACTTGCTCTGATAAATGCCAGTCTCAGCTCGGGGACTGCTCCATCTGCCTTTAATAATAATAATAATACCACTGCACAACTCAGTTTTTGCTTCTTGAACACTGTTGGGTGTTCCTTATAGATGTTTGGCTGCTGATCACGAAAATCAACCAAATTTGCCCATCACGTACCGTTTCATCGAAATCTTCAGTTTTGTCATGTATTTTTCTCATATCTGTGTCCAAAAATTTTCATTTCTGCAAGAGACCTATCAACAGTGTTTTGTACAGTCTGAGAATGGAATCAGGCCAGGTTGGAAACTGTTTTGTGGAAGTTTGCAGCCTGGGGAGGCAGAAGCCAGCTTTACACTGCCTCAGGAGGCTATAAAAGTGGCTTGCATACACAGATGCTGCTCATTGGGTTAATATAGAACTGATAGTGTGTATGTATTGTTTCAGAATTGCTCAGTAGCAATGTAACAAGTAAGGTAGATGCTATAGACATTTGCAGGACGATTAGTGTCGGTCGATATGTCTCATCCATGTCTTAACAGCCGTAATACATTCTGCTATATTTGTTACAAATATGCACTTGCACCTCACAGATGCTCAATGACTGCTCTTGTGAAGAAGACATAGCATCTGTACAGCTGTAAAATCAGTGATCAAGACAAGTAATGAGCGCCTCACATTTGTTGTGCGACATGTGCTGTCTGTCTGAGACCCTGCCTCAGAGGCACTCGAAAGACAATGTCGTTTGCTGTCCCGATGATATGGCAAGAACAGAAAGACCATATGACAGACTGTTCATCTGTTTGACTAATGTGTTCCCCATAGGGAAATTGTCTTCACACCTCCCTCAACTTGCTCTGTGTCTGTGAAGGGCAGCCACCTGTTGGGGGGCCCAGGGAGCTGGGGGTTAAGGGCCTTGCTCAAGGACCCACAGACCTGCTGAGGCTGGGTTTGAACCGGCGACATCGTGATTGCAGAGCACGGTATAGTACAACCTCTTCTCAAGAAGAGAAATTTGAATCCTCCAGATTTGCCAAACTTTAGTCCAATTTCTAAGCTACCTTTCCTATCCAAAGTCTTAGAGAAAGTGTTTTTTAATCAGTTACAATCATTCCGGACTACGAATGAAATCTATGAAAAGTTTCAGTCTGGTTTTAAATCGCATTACAGTACTGAAACTGCCCTCCTGCAAGTTACCAACGATCTCATGCACACAATTGATTCGGGTAGCTCCGCCGTTTTGGTCCTTCTCGACCTTACTGCTGCCTTTGACACTGTGGATCGTAGAATTTTGCTGTGTAGGCATCAAAGGCATGCCCCTCTCATGGTCACAGTCCTACCTATCTGGTCGAAGCATTTTAGTCCATTTGGGTGAATTTTCTTCAGCTACGGCTCGTCTTCTGGAGTCCTCCAAAGCTCTGTCCTGGACCCTATACTGTTCCTTTTACTGTATTTATTGCCACTATATTCAGAAAATGTAATTTTCCACTGTTTTGCAGATGACGTACAAATTCATCTGCCACTAAGTCTAAGCAGGAATGAATGAATTCCGCCATTGTTCAATTGCTTGAATGAGGTTAAATCTTGGATAGGCAGTAATTTTTTAAACCTCGTGATAGTAATCTATTACTAGTTATTCTGTTTGGCCAAGAGCAGATTGATTGCCTTTCTGGTCTTTTGGGCCTTCTTTCTCCTTATCTTCGCTCATCTGTTATGAACCTAGGTGTGACCTTTGACAGCGCTTTTAAATTTGATAATTAGGTGAGCTCTGTTTTTACCAACTGAGACTTATAGCTAAGGTTAAAGGTCATCTCCCCCTTAAAGATCTCGAGAGGGTTATCCATAGTTTTATAACCTCCCGGCTAGATTATTGCAGTTCATTATATTTTGTAATTGATCATTTGCAGATTCATCGTCTGCAGTGCAAAACGCAGCAGCTCGTCTCCTCATTGGGAAGCATAAGTGTGGCCATATTTCTCAGATATTGGCCTCATTTCACTGGCTACCTGTTAGGTTTAGAATTGAGTTTAAATTGAGTTGTTTTTAAAGTGCTGAACGGGCTGGCACCCCAATATCTCACTGAACTGCTATACTTTTATAATCCGGAAAAAGCATCTAGGTCGTCTCGACAGCTTCTGCTCAAAGTTCCTAAGACCAGGCTGAAGACCAGAGGCGATCGAGCCTTTGGGGTGGCTGCCCCTAGACTTTGGAATAGCCGACCTTGGCATCTTAGATCTGCCTCGACTCTTCTCTTAAGACACATATTTTCTCGATGCCATTTAATTTAGGATGAGTTGGAATAAAATGCTCTGAGTCTGTTGTTCTTTGTTTTTTGTTTCTTATTTGATGTTTTTATTGATTTTTTTATGATGTAAATCTGTACAGCACTTTGCTCAACTTTGGTTGTTTAAAAGTGCTTTATAAATAAACTTTGATTTGATTTGGTGCTGCCATCTCCGTCAATTGCACATAGTTCTTTCATCTAAAGCCTAGAATTAATTAATTATAGCAGCTATCGTCTGTATAGTTGAACAAATGTCACTGATATTTCTAAGCAACCAGTACAGGCACCAAACACCAAATACCTTCTGAATACCATTAAATTATTTAACATGGCTATTAAATACTATAGTGTACTACCTTAACAGATTCAGATCCTAAGCCAAATAAAATCACTCATGTTGTTTCACAAATGTTCACCCATCCATTTTCTGTATCTGCTTGTCCTATTCAGGGTCGTAGGAGGTCCAGAGCCTGTTCTGAAAGGTACGGGTGTAGGGCAGGGAATGACCCAGGATGGGGCACCAACCCATCACAGGGCACAGTCACACCTATGGGCAGTTGGGCAATTCCAATTTACCTCAGTGGGGGGGACACAAACACCCAGTTCCATTAATTATTAATTATTAAATGCAGTATTTATGCAAATATGTTTAGTAACGTGACTGAATCCAGTTTTTACCTAATAAAAATTTCGTCTGATATTAGAGACGATGTGAAAATTTCATAATGATAAAATCAACATGTGACACTTTTTGGTATTATTAATATATGTTAACATACATTTTTATGATTATTTGTTTATGTTCTCATCAGAAGAAAAGGATGTATGGGTTCCAAAAATGAAATAGACTGTAAAAAAAATCAGCGGAAAATTCCTGATCTTCAGCAGTGTAGCTGCAGCAGGAATCTGTATTGCGGATTCAACAAGTAACAGAACCAAGATGAAAACAAAGCACTCTGGTAATGCACCTCTAATATCTGCCTGCAAAGCCAAACCATGACTCCTTGTTCCTCAATCAATTACACACAGAAAATTAATTCACCAAAATTATACACAAAGTCCAAAAATCCAATACCTTAAACACAAAAGGTAGAGTTACAAAAGAATATCCTCATATTTTAAAAAGTAAGTTGTATTTGCACAGTAAAATTACACAAACTATATATAATACTCATACATTTCAAGTATAAAATAAATGAGAATGTCACATTAAAAACCCCCGATTTCCCTGCGTGGGCTTTAAACCTCCCAAAAGCCTCGTTTCCATATGCTGCTGCTGGGCTGGTTCTCACTTGGTGCCTTTTGAGAACCAGCCTGCGTTTCCACTGGTTTAAAAAAAGAATGGAACAGAAATGTTACGTAGGCGGAAGTGAAAGTAAAGTAAATGTTAATATGTATTTCATTTTTTGGATTTACTTTGCCTAACTGAAAAAACAACGTTTCCCAGAGTATGACTCGTTGTGTCTCCTTCAAGGCTCCCTGTCTGTGTGTGTTTATTCTTTATTCTCGCTCTTTGATTTACTGCTGTCCTTTTAAAGATCGCGCAGTAAAAGAGTCTAATAACTGAACTTTGCAGTCTGCCTCATGATCTCGAACGCCACAATATTTTATTTGTTCGACCTGCGACATGTTTATACTTTATTTATTATTAAATTTGGCCAGCAGATCGATCATTTTTCTCAGAATAAAAAAAATGTAACCTTATTCCACTAAAAAGCTGGCTAGCTGTTCACTGCCAGCACCGCCGTTATTAGACTATTTCGGTTATGGACTGAATTTTCTGGGTATACGGAAGGTTTGGACTTTCGCTGACGTTATACGGAAGCCACATTCAGAGCCCAGCATTTCTGTGGTGCTGTGCTGGAGCCAGTTTTTCTAGACCAGGGCATTTTTTGTGATGGAAACGCGTGGAAAAAGTGCCGGTTTGGGAAAAAATTCTGGCACTGCCTTGGTGGAAATGAGGCTAAAGTGAACTGTTCCTCCCCCTGGCTGGGGCAATCACGAGTCACTAGCCATGCCTATTTATCACCTTTTAAGGCCTGCAATGAGGAAACCATGGTTATCTTTGGTGTGTGTGTGTGTGTGTGTGTGTGTGAGCAGGTTTACCTATCCCTATGGGGACATAATGTCCCCATAACGTGATAAATATCTGCATTTTTCCCATTGAAATGAATGAGCGGTCCCCATATGGATATGTATACCCTACATGCATGTGTGTGTGTGTGTGTGTGTGTGTGTGTGTGTGCGTGCGTGTGTGTGTGTGTGGTCTGATCACCCCCTAATGGTGTGTGGCAGGGTTGCAGCCGGAGTGCTGCTTGCGCTGTTCTCTTGTAGTTACCGAGAATACAATCAATCCAGAGAGCAGCAAATACAATGAAAATTGGCATGCAGGGTTCTTGTGGGTATGGCTAGCATTTGAACTGGTGGGAGTTAGAAACCAGATGTAGAGGCACAGAGGGAAGATCTGGAAATGAGTAGGTGGACTGGACTGTAGTGACTGGAACGGTGAATAGCTGGAGTGGATGAATGGAGCTGTGATACAGAGACACTGCTGCAAGTAACAAACAGCAGTCAGTTCATCTGATTTCAAGGGAAAATGAGAAGATGATGGCTCATAAAAGGAATTGAATAGGATTATTTTGTTGTATGGTGTGCTGTGTTACAGTGGGTCCGCAAGAACGTGTGGGGCCTCTGCTGCTCAGTTAGAGGATTTCATTGCATAGTTGAGTGTTAGCACAAACACTTCTGACCTTTTTGCAGCTGTGTAATATAAAGCTAAACAAATATGTTTAATATGCTTAGCTTTCATGATTGTGGCAAATTCATGTGCACTGAACTGTGGTCCATTATCACTAATAAGGATCTTTGAAATGCCACATCAACTGATGAGATTGCACAGCACCTCTGTGGTCGTGGAATCCATTACCTGAACTTCTGTTGACTATGAATGCACATTAACCGTGACCATGTGTTTTCCTCGGCATGGTTTGATAGGCCAGACCCATGGGTGCAGAGGTGCATGGCATCACATTTTGTGTAAGGATTAACAATTAACAAGGAGAATACGTGTATCTTGGTATCTGACTTGCATGGTATATGAGACTTGTCTTGCACATCAGGAAAGTGCCATATCATCATCCCTCGAAATACACTCATGGGTCAATTCTTGTGAAATCGGTGCTGCAGAAAGCGGTAGACGTCATGTCTGTTGTAGTGATCTGACGAACGCGGGTGGCTTCGTAATAATTTTTATAAGAAGCTCTTCCTTTTCCTCTCTCTGCATTGTGGTGAAATTGCTGTCTTTTTAGAAAAGGTTATGTGCTCTTGGGGATTTTTTGAGTTTAATCTACCTTCACCAGCTAACCACTGTCAAAACGGAAACAGAAGGTGAACAGGCAGAGTTGGTTAAGCATGGAAATAATTTAGAGCTCTCGTTGGTATTTGTTGTAGGGAAGCACTTTGAGTTTAACATATTAATGAAATGTGTGTGTTTTACTGTTGTCTTTACAGACGCTAAGCTATAATCGCCATGGTTACCCTAAAATCTTTCCCCGATGGTGCACATGGATGTGTAAATGTCCTGATGTGTTTTTCCTTTTTGAAATTTACACTCCATGGGCCAGTTCCCCCCTGGACCAGCACATCGGCATCCTGGTGCAGGTCATCATCTTCAGCAAGCCCCACAACAATAAAACAGCATTGAGGTTTACAAGATCGTCCGTTTTCACTCGTTTTTCGTTCTCGATTTCAAAGCCCAATCTTAAACTTGCCAGGTGTCTGTCACTAATGTAGTTACAGAATTTGGTTGCATGAAAAATGGCAGACAAACTCCCCACACACATCATTTTTCTACGTTCTTTTTTCCTTAATGGTAAAGTGCTTTACAAAACTGCTTTACTGAAGCAGTAGCCTAAAATATCAAATTTTGTTTATTGCTTTGCCAGATAATGTCTATGGACGAAAGCACTCACGGCTCGATGTGTTTATGGTCCAGGTGGTGTTCTGGTCCTGCTGTGACTGACCAGGTTGAATCTGCAAAGCCACAAAAAAAAAAGAAAACAAACACAAAAACATCTTAAAAAGCAGATTTCAGCATGATCTGTGATGGCTACATTAGTAGTACCAAATGATGGCCATGTTAATAGTAAAAAAAATATGTCAGTTGTTTTTGTGTTGTGGTGGCAAAATGACCACCAGGGGGCATTTTTGTACTTTTGATTTGAAAACTTTGATAGGAGATGAATCCCATGACAAAACAAGCTTACAAACAAGTAATTTGCTGACATGTTATATTTTTATGTTATGTCTAATACTGAATCAAAAACTTAAAAAGCATGGAAAATGTCTGTCTCTCTTTGTAACACTATTGTCCCACCCCTCCATTGCATTTTTCAACTACTCAAACCTCAAACCAAGAGATATCAGGCTATAGTTCTAACTCCAGTACCACTGAACAGTAACATCAGTTATTTATAAATATTTGCGAATTTCTCCTTGACAACGACATATTAGTAACTCCTTCCTTCTGCATTTCCTTACCGCAGATATTAAATCATAAGGAAATGTCACCGCCTGACACCTCCTTCCATTGAAGCCAGTTTATTTAGAGGACAGGAAAGCTGCCCTCAGACTGGTTCTCCTATCACTATCTTTACATGCTGTGTGATGCTTATAAGGACTTTGGGGGAATTTGCGACATTGTCATTCCTCATCTCTCTCCCCAGAGCATGTCTGTCCCCCTACTGTGGCTAAATGATAATGATAACAGGTAGTGGGTGGCAGCTGTTTCAGGAAGAGACCCAGAGGGCCAAACTACTGCATAGCACTTAAATCTCTGTTGCAATATCAAGGGAAAATAAACATTCTTAAATGGCACTTGTGTTACTGCTGCAGTGCAGTCATGCATGAAGGTGTAAGGTGCTGCTTTTGGGTGGAAGAAAGTGACACGAGTTTTGGTCATAGCATGCACACATCGCATTTGGTGTGTCATGCAATACTGTGAGATTCATTCTGGGTGAGGCAGGTACAGTACTAGCTGGGTCTCCGGCTACGTGTTGGGCCAGGCATCCACCATCATCCCTGACTTCCACAAGGGAACCCTCAAGCAAGGGCTGCTTATCCAGCTCCAGGTGGACTTTGGATCTGTCATCGCAAGCATCTCTCCATCTTGCCAGGACACAGAGGGTTACACGGCCTGTCCATCACAGGGCATACGCTCACACTTGCAGACAGCAGAGCATGTCTTTGAGGGATGTGTGGGAGACCATGTGAAGAACACAGGAAGAACATGCACTCAGAAAGAGGCTGGGAACCAGGCCTTCAGCTCTGGGGGTGTGAAAGGACAGCACCTGACAATGAGCACCTGTGCCAATCGTGCCAGCAGGAGCTTGCTGGTTTAAATCACAGAGTTATTTCACTGTCGGGCCCTGGAACAAAACCATTCACCCCCAGTTGCTCCAGGGACCCGCAGATCCTGCTTCCAACTGCATGTTGCTTTGGATAAAAGCGCCTGCTAAATAAGGAAGCGTAAATACTTTCCATAGCAAAGCCTCTGAAATTTATTATTACTATTACTATAAATATTTATTAAGGGGACGGTGTTTGGCTCAGTGGGCTAAGCCCCCATACCTGTGATCAGAAGGTTGCCAATTTGAACCCAGCCTTGGCAGAACAGTTACATGTCCATGTGCCCTAAGCAAGGCCCTCAACCCTGAGCTGCACAGGTGGCTGCCCTTCACTGTGATTGCCAAGCTTGGTCCTGTCTGTGTGTGTCTCATGGAGAGTAGGATGGGGTAGGCAAAAAGGGCAATAAAGGATCATTGTATTATTAGTACCAGTCATCGGAATTTATTTCAGCAGATATCCATTGTGCTCAGGGACTGGATGCCTGAATTTCATGAGAAGCCACTAGCTTCCTTACCCTTAAGGTCTGGGCTTCTGCATCACGATGACTGCAGTGGACGTGTCTCCCATCTCCCTGTGCTTCTTCTGGAGTAGGAAGTCATCATCCTGACACATGGCACTCCACCTCAGGAAGAGGATAGAAAAGTTGCAGACAAGGAGGAAAAGAGAGAGAAGCTGGAGCCCAACTTCAAGAGATCCCGGGATGGTTCAGCCAATTGTCTGTGAAGGTAATGAGGACCCAAACCTCATATATTTCATTAAACAACTTAACTGCTCTAGTAGCCTTCTGGGGGTGTTTTTTTCCATAATGGAGGAGGAGAGATTTTGTCGGCTCATTCACCACTTAGCCCCTCGTTACCGTCTCCAATTCCAAGCTATTTTGCCGATGTCTCCCTGCTGGCATTATACAGTTGTAACATTTACGTAACTCATGCATTTAGTCTGTCTGCAAGTCATTGCCAAGCCAACTCCCTGGCTGTGTTTATGGCCACAGTATTGCCTTTTTTAACGATTACATCTTTGTATTTTTCATACAGCTCCATCAGCAGCGTTTATTCTGCGGCGGTGAGAAACACCGCTCTCGTTTTGCAGGCTTTCCGACTCATTTGGTCGATCTATCGTTCATCCATTTATTTGGGCTTCTTAAATATCGCAGGTGTGCGCACTAAGTGAGACTATGCAAGTCTGTCTTGAATGAACCTTGATTAATTTAAACTGAACTGCGTTCGTGGAACGACGTGAGGCTAAGTTTAGAGATGGAGGTAGGTTCAGTCTGACTTTTTCGGGAAAGTCTGCCTTTTTTTTTTAGCTACTTTCATGGAATACCCCCCAGGACTGACTTCAAAGTTCTCCCACTTACATATAAGGCACTTAAAAATCCAGCACCTACCTACTAACAGACCTACTTCAAGTTCTAAAAGCCACATCGTCCAGTCAGATCCCAGAATGCAGGCTTCCTGGTCATTCCACATATAAAATAAAGTGACAGATGGAAGTGAAGCATTCTGCTACAGGGCCCATATATTTTGGAATTCACTCCCATAGAAGGATGACATTGTGGATGCAAACTTAAATCTGCACCCTACCAGGCTGCATGGAGAACTGACTCATTGATGGGCTTAGGCTTGAACTTGATCACAGTTTACACCTTGCTTTTAGCGAGCAAGCTCGCTCTTTCTTCTATAATGCTAGCATGCCTAGGGGGGCTGGGATGCCAAGTAACCTCAGAACCCAAGAGTTTGTTTTTCTCTCTACTTCGTTGTTTTTGGTTCATCTCCTCCATTGTCACCTGGCTTTCTTTTTAAAATTTCTTTGTATTACATTTTCCCTGTTTTTTTTAATTATTCTGTATATATTACAGCACACCCATGTAAGAACCATGGGCTAACTCTGTTGTGCGCTATACTAAATTTTAAAAAAAGGAACAACTATGGTTTCGAAAAGGGCAAATTGAAATTAGCATGGCAGAGAAATGCTGTTTCTCTCGAAACGGAAACACATATAAAATCTTCTAAAGCTATTTATGGAGAAGAAAATATGAACCTTTTTTCAACCAAACTCTAAGATCACCATGTACAAACCCCTCTCAGCTTTTTTAATAGCCTGGCCTGTTTGTTGAATCACTGCAATTAGGGAAAAAAACAACAACAGATATAGGTTTCAACTTCTGCAAATACGGTGTTAGTTCTGAGCAACATATTTTTATTCTAGTAAAAGCAAATACATTTTCTTCAAGTACAAAGACGTATCAACCTTATTTTGTACAAAGATTGCATCTGACCGGTTTCATTTGAAAATTATTTATAGATGCAGAAGAACAGGTGTTGTGCTCTGAACTGCCCCCTGCTACAGATTGCCTCCCCTGACGTAATCACTGTAGTGAATTGTGAACATTTGCTAACTTCTGATTACTTTTGATGTTTGGTTCGATGTCATATCATTTCCAGGTGTGACAGTGCTGAGTATGAAGCTAATCACCCATTATAGGTATGAGAAGAAGACAGAATAGGAAAAATATTGAAGGAATTCAACAAAGTGTCAAACATATTTGATAGATAGATAGATCTATAGATTCAATAAATGAATCACTTCTTGTGACTTGTTTGTGCCTGTATTTGCACAGACGAGCATTGTCGAAAAGAGAAGCATTACTGTCGAGTAAATCAGCAAGTGTCACATTTGCAACGTTTTACAGGAGGTTGTTAATTTTAACTTAAGGTTTGATTGTAAAACCAGTAATAAACCAGTTAAGTGTGTTTTCTTGTCTGCTTGAGGTAAGAAAAATGAACTTGGAGCAAACGGTTGCTTCTGCCGCGTAGGACAATCAAAGGGACACGGCCTTCAAAAAGAGCGATTACGTCAGGGGAGGCAATCCGGGGCAGGGGGACAGTTTAGCGCAGAACACTCAACGGGGCAGGTTTCTGTGGCTGTGGAGAATAGAGCGAAACTTGACTTAGCCCCTGATCTTTTCAATAGCTAGAAACTCCCCTGGCTCAGCTTCTGAGCACAAAGGTCATAATCATATACAGTTCATGCCCTCGTTGTGTTTTCGTGGTGAGCTGGACTCCACTGTTCCCAGGTTTGGCCCAAATGCTATTGCTCCTCACCCTGAGGCCGTCCCATGCTCTGCAGTCACGGTCAGATCATCTGAGCCCTGGTCCAAACTAGAAGTTAAGTCCAAGGCATCGGCTAGCTCCACGCCATGGACGGTGCTGGTACTGTAAATGTGATAACGCTGCACCACCATCAGAAATTCAACTGGAAAACAGATTCGGTGTCCTGTGTGAACAAGAATATCCTCCACACATTGTTTTTAAATGTGCTATATAAACAAATAACTTAACTTCATTCATATTGTACATAACGCCGCAACAACTTTTTTGCTTTACGTAAGACTTCTGTTGAACCTGTAATATATGTATAAAAATACAGCATAATTTGTAGAACACTCTTTTCTGCTGTGTTTGAAGTGTAACCTTGTTTCATACAGCATACACAGCCTGACATTTGGGGAGGTGCGTAGATTCTGCACAGAGGTACAATACCTTATATGTGGAATTTAGAATAAGGTGATCAGTGATGACACACAGTGCACAACAAAGAAATGTGTCCTCTGCATTTAACCCATATGGGACATCGTGACCATTAGGCCACCACTGCCCATGTACTGTATGTATATAATATTAATTATATGTTTGCTATTACTATCTGCACAAGAATTCCTATTGGAATCAATAAAGTTAATCTAATATTGTAAGATCTCTATGTTGATTTCTGGGACGTTAAATGTAATTTTTGTACGCCACTTAGGGTTTGACGTTTCGTTTTGATAGTCAAATAGTCTATCAAATCCGCGTGCGCGTCTTCTACGGGTACACCTTGTTCGCGTGCGCTGATGCTGATTGCGGGAGATCGCGTGACGGGGCTCGGAGTCGTAAGTGTCGGATTTCAATACGTACTATCTAGGTTCTATGTTAAACAAAGAAGCCCTCTTAATGTAAAAATACATTACATACAGTATCCCAATTTGTCTTATGCCCGGCTATATGCTTTTTTCTTTTACTTGAAATATGCTGTTCTTCGAAGCCGTAGACACTAACCTGTGCCTCCTACAACGCTTAATGTTTTATGGTGACTATCGGCCACCGTATCATCTGTTTGGAAGCAGCTTTGGTCAGGTGATCGTGATCACGTGTCACCTGTCATGTGGTCTGGTCAGGTGACTGTTTGGTCTTGACGCCAGTTTAAGATGGCTTTTGTGTTTTGGGTGTTGATCCTGTGCTCTGTCGTCGGCACTGCTAAAATAACAGTAAGTTTCTACCATTTGTTCTGTGTAACTTAAACGTTTACTTTTACTGTTCTATTTTAATTCTCCTGTGTTTATTATATGGAAAGCAAGTTGATGACCAGATCTCCCGATCTGTAAACTGCTGCAGGCTAGTGTTTTGAGAAGTGTGCTACTGACTTCCTGCATTAATTTAATAAACCGTTTGTCGGTAAACCAGTTAACCTTGAACCAGCTTTGGGGAACACTTACAGTGCATATACTTCTGAATTTATAAGAAACTAGTTTTAGCAGAGTTATGCTAAGTGTGCATAAGTGTGTATGCTGTCTCCCATCACCAGTCTCTATCTGCTTTTCACTCCTGTATTCCTTCAGCTTGCGTCGACCCGCACGTTTGACATAGATTACAAGAAGGACTGTTTTCGTAAGGATGGCCAACCATTCCGCTTCATCTCTGGTAGTATCCACTACAACCGGATTCCCAGGGTTTACTGGAAGGATCGGCTTCTTAAGATGTACATGGCCGGGCTGAACACGATTCAGACGTACGTACAATAGCATATCACATCCCTCCATCCATTTATTTTCTGTACCCACTTGTGATGCTGAAATCTGACTCAGACCATCATTTTTTATGATGGTTATTCATAAGCACGTCTGTCTTTTTCCCAGAATGGATGATAGGGTTTTATTTTAAGCTTGTGTTTAATGTTCTTCCCTAGCACTACTTATACTAAAATTTGCTATTGATGTCATGGTTTCTCAGAATTGTTTTATTGTTGCTTTTCAGGTATGTGCCCTGGAACTATCATGAGCCTTTTCCTAATAAGTACATCTTTGAAGGGGATCGTGACCTAGAGCAGTTCCTCCAGCTGGCTAATGATACAGGATTGTTAGTAATTCTGAGACCAGGGCCCTATATATGTGCGGAATGGGACATGGTGAGTGAAATAAATGATGACCCTTTTTTTTTTTAAGGCTCGCTTCCACTTAAGTTAATTGATAATGTACTTGGGCAGTTCCATGCGCTGCTGTTCAACGAGAGAGAAATTTCATCTCAGTATATCACCCTTGGATCATATAGATGACAATAAAGATACTCCAACCTGACTTGATCCATAGTTGGAAGGGTCTTGTTTAGTTGGTCTGATTGATCTTAAAGCCTAAGCCAAACCCCCCCCCGCCCCACACAAGTGTTCAAGTTCAAGAAGTTTATTGTCATATACACAGTAAAAAACATTATGTTACTTCGTGTCATATGATGTTTTCTCTGCAAATGAAGGAGGATAGCACTTGTGATGCCCGATGGCAAAATTATGTGTGATATATTACCTCGTAATAGTTCCAAGGGTCATTGGATGGATAAGGAAATGTGAGTGGTTCCATTTTAATTCAACAGATTTTTTTTAACCTAAAACTTTTCGATCAGCATTTTTCATTGAGACTAAATTTGGCATGTGAATTACACAAACCATTGAGAGCATAGAATTATTATATATATTTTTTTAATCTTTACAAAAATTTCCTTTGCGATATAGTGCCTTTTCTACATCATGGGTAGTAAACAATATGATAATCCAGGGTGTTTTCATATGACTGTTACAACTGTGTGCCTCATCTATAGCTCAGTGATTTTATTTTTTTTCCCAGAACCTTGTCCTACATCCCTTTGAATAACGACACAAATTTGTTTGTTTGAATACAGATAAAGAGTACTTACTTTTTTTCTTGAGGCTCAAAAATATATTTTTAAAAAGCATACTTTTGAGGCATTTCTCACAAACAGGTACAAGTAATAGGCCCATGTTCTACATACATGTAGTCCACATAGATATGAATTTCATTTAAATTTATTGACTCGTTACTCCAAGACTCCATTGTTTAATAACCGAAAATGCAAAAGCCATTTGTTGCATTAAAATCGAATGACCTACATATTATAGCGAAAAATAACTGAGTGTTACCTTTCTGTACTGAAATGTGTGAGAGTTGTTTTTTTTTTTAAATCCAGTGAAACGGCAGTCTTTTATACATCAAGGCTTTCAGTGTGACTAAAGTAAAGCTTTCTCTCGGCGAGTTTCCATAAGGTCATGGGTTCAGATCCCATGGCCATCATACTAATAACATTGTGTGGCCCTTGAGTAATGCCCTTAAGCCCATCTGCTCCAGGGCACTGGATCCTGGCTGAGACTGTACTCTGACCCTAATGCCAGGTCTCACATGTCTGTACATGCCTGTCTGTGTCTAACAGGTAGTGTGGTAATCTCTAAATATTACATAGTAAAAATATTCTGTAATTTTTCTTTAATATTTGGTCCCTTCTAGGGGGGTTTACCTGCTTGGCTGCTTAGGAAGAAGGATATCATTCTTCGCTCTTCCGATCCAGGCAAGTTATGCCAAAGTGACTCACTTGTGTTGTGGTCAATGCAAATATTTCTTGGTCTATTCAGGTGTGATTTTTCTTTTTCATCATCTAATTGGAATTCAAATTGTCCATTGTGTGTCAACATTATTTTCCAAACATGCTTTTCCTGTTTTTTCCTCTCTTTGTTTACCATATTTTTTTCCTTCCTCTTGCTCTAGATTATATTAAAGAAGTGGATAGGTGGATGGAGAAATTACTTCCGATGATCAGACCTTTTCTCTATCAAAATGGAGGCCCAGTTATTACTGTACAGGTGTGTGTGTGTGTGCGTGCGTGCTTACTTTTATCTTCTCCTAGTTCTTCTGCTTCTTGATCTCAGGTACTATCTAATATGGCTGACATTCAGTGGTCATGAGCTGAATGTTTATGAGAAGACGTTAGACATCTTTCTTGATAAGTAGCTAAAACATTTTTGCGTAGTACTCTTATTTGCCATAGGTGGCGGCAAAATGTAAAAAACGAAAAATGAGTTCTTTGCTGGATGAAATGTTGTTTATGGGGAAACGGTTTGAACAGGTGTGAATTTTTTTTTTTCTTTCAGATCTCAGTTCCAAGTCTTGGCAGCATGTGAAATGTGCTTTAGATGTTTATCTTATAAGGGGCTTGCTCTGCTGTTGTGTGGATTGCTCTCTCCTTCTGACACTAACTGAGACATGGGGGGGTGTGTGGGTAGAGAACCTAGTCATAAACTAAAATGTTTCATGAAGATCTTCTAGGAAATTGACTTTCGGGATGGTATATTTGGCATTCTGGTCTTTTTTTTTTTTTTTTAATGCGACCACCAACTCTCCCCCCCCGCCCCCCCCCCCCAATATAAAAATGCACAATCTGTTTTGGCAGTCTTCATTGCAGTGCCTCACTAGGGCTGCATTTTCACCCTGCGTTACTCTCAGGTAATGGACATGCGGCGCCATCTCTTTCGTCGCAGGTGGAGAATGAGTACGGCAGCTACTTTGCATGCGACTTCAACTACCTCCGGCACCTTGCCCAGCTCTTCCGGTACCACCTGGGAAACGAGGTGGTGCTGTTCACCACAGACGGAGCAGCTGTTTCTTATTTGAAATGCGGTTCCCTGCAGGACCTCTATGCAACAGTGGATTTCGGCGCAGGTCTGTAGGAAGCAGCAGAGCGTGACTGAGAAACCTGTCTCTCCCTCCCCCTCTCTCTCGATCTATCTCTAACTTCCTTTGTTTGTTGTAACCTTTATATTAGAGCTGATTACTGAATGGAAACTTTTACCAAAATATTTCCACACTCACGCCTACTTTGTTAAATGGAAATAGCAATTAATTTAAATAATTTTATTTTGCCGCATGATAAATAGCTTATTTTCATTATGCCCCTTGCTTTCCTTCAGAGCTGCTCCCTCGTGTTTACAAGAGGCTTGTTACAGTCATTTCTTTGGTTGCTGTTGTGGTGTATTAAATATGTTTTGACAAGGTGCATAAGGTCACAGGAACTTCCTGGACCTCCACATGCATCTTCTCTAGAAAGCTTCATAAATGTAACACATTTGTGTCCTGTGCTGTGATTCATGCTTTAAGTTTAAAATTACATGCGTTCTGAAGTTGTCTCTGACAGCTGATGTGGGAAGTCGGATGATAACTCGGGTTTCTGTGTGAACAGGTGGGAATGTAACCGCTGCTTTTGAGGCACAACGACACGCAGAACCTCATGGACCACTGGTACGAAAGCACCGTTTGCTCTTTCCAGAATATTCTTCTGCACGCTAGCCCTGCACATTGTCAGTCTCCATGTACCAGTTCCATGGGCTGATATTTGTGCCACTAGAAACTGAATATCAATAGTGTATATTTGAATCTGCAGTTGTTGCATTAAAAAACTGAATCTGAATTTATTAGTTTGAATCTGGATTCCAATAACTTGAAACTGCATTTATCCTACCTGGAAAATGTGGCGCTGTATACTTACAAATTCACTTCTCCCAATTCAATTACAATTCTCACAATTCAGTTTCAATTTATTGAGATGCACAATCCGGGTCCTTGAGGAAAAGTAATCGACCACAGTACCGACAGTTTTGTTGAGGCGCTTCTGTTGTTCCCAACACCCCCCACCGCACCCCCACTGCAGTTCTCATGGTCAATACAGTAGCGACACTTTTATTTCTTCACTTCGAGCACTGCTTATACAGATCACCATATTAAACGCCAGTTCAACTGTATGATGCTCCCGGTTATTAGCACAGTACACAGAGAGCGCTGTCGACATGCAGCAGACCAGAAACATAGCACCTCAAACCTGCTTTATAGCTTTACATTTAGATCGATTCAGGAGTACGTGCATCGATGCCTTGTTTTGTGTTTTTTTTCTTCCCCACCAATCAGGAGTCAGGAGCCGCTTGTGTTGATATTCAGATTCAGCCTTTATTGCAAC